CCCTGTGAGGAAACCGCCCAAAGCGACGGCCGGGAGCGGCGGAGGAAGGGGGGAAATAGTGTTTTGTTCGCATCAAAGTGAAAAAAACGGGTGCTTTTTCAGGGGGAGGATGGAGGGGAGTCAGGGAGGAGGCTGCAGGGAGCGGGTCCGGAGCCGCCCGCAGTGGGGAGCAGCCCCAGGGCGCTTCCTCTTGCCCGCCTCCCAAAATGGCCCCCGCAGCGACCTGGGCGAGCGCCTCTCGCCCCCTCCAGCCGCAGGACCTCCGGCCTGAGGCCTGTGGAGCAGCTCTCGACACGTTTATCGAGCAGTAACTACTCTAAAACATGCCACAATAACTTACCTAGGCAGCAAGCACCTCGCTGCTCAGCCCTCCTGAGCTTGATTCGAAACCTCATGCTGGGACAGAGGCTCCAAGCAGCCCCTAGGAAAGTTATTAATAAAATTTACACCAACTGCCAGGGGAACACAGTGTTTATGGACCTGAGCTGGGTTAGCACTAGAGAACGGGGCCCCCTGGAGTCCAGGCAGCCCAAGGGTGAAGGAGGGTGCTCAGAGACACCCCTGAGCAGGGGCTGCAAAACCCCATTTTTGGATGTTTGCTGACACCTGGTGTTCTGCAATGGATGCCATCTGCTTGCACGCCAGCCCCTTGGCTTTGGTTGGGATAATCACTCCACAGAAATGCTGTGTGGAGGGTTTCTTACACTGAGATGTGTTACATGAGATCCGTTGCCTAACATATAGGCAGGCGTCAAGGGAGTTGGAGGGCCAGGATCGCGGGTTGTGTTTATTTTTAAAACAGAACATCACACCACAAGGGAAAATAAGCAGACACAGCGATCCAGAGCCAGCCGCCCTTCCTTAGGATGGCCGCTCTTACACCAGGTGGCTGTTTAGGGTTAGCATTGGAGACCCAGAAACTGTAAGTGACTGGAAACTGAAAATGAAACAGAATCCGCAAGCAAGGCACACACATTCGTGTTTACTGAGTCAGAGCACATTTATTTCTACAAAAAAAAAAAAAAAGATAAGAAAAAAGAATAGGCAGGGTGGCATGTTTCAGGCCAGTGCAACAAGAAAATAAATTACCATGGCACCGCAACAAATGAGAATACACGAGCGGTTGTCCTCAGTACAGGCGATACAATGGAGGCAGGAAGACGTGGCAGTGGCGGGGGCTGTTTTCTTTCCCTCGTGGCACACGGACCCGTGCAAACAGCCAGGAGACTGCTGCTGGGGTCGCTTTGGAAGAGGTCAAAATGGCCATTACAAAGTGCATTAAGCAGCAAGATCCCAGGACTTTTCTCCCTCATACAGAGTAGAGCCCATCCTCTACCACAGTCCTACATGAATGATGTTAAAAAGCCTGACAGAAAAAAATGACTTTTCAGCTCACATCTTGGAGTGAAATGGACTATTACAGGGAGCGCCGTGCACCCTTACATTTCCCAGAGAAGCCCTGGGTGCCAGCGGCAGGGACTGTCCTGCTGCCAAGCGCTCTCACCCGTGAAGCTGTGCAGAGCTGACAGGCCTGAGATGCTCCCTTTCACACCACTCCCTTCTTTCCTGGACACCAGGAAGGTTTGCAACAGCAAATTGGCCTGAAAATACAGAATAACAGCTACATTTAGTAAAGCTTATACTTAAACTCCAGTGTTTACATCGCAAGTGCTTGAATTATAGCCTAATGAGGATTTTCACCTTTCTTTTTTTTCCTTTGTTGTTGCTTTTAAATCCTCCTTCTCAGAGTACAGTCTTGCTTGGAAAGCACATCCTACCACTATGCAGCCACATCAACATTTCACAGAGCCTAACGTTATCCTTAAATAAGGAGAGTGGCACCTCCAGAAATACCCGTCACCAGCTCTCCACCTCCTCTGCTCGGAGGTTTCCATGATCCACAATTCCTGGTTCACTCCAAAAGCCTGCCCAGATTAGACCAACACCCTCCCTGTGCTGCTGTAAACAAAATGCCATAAATAAAATACACCACAAGGCTTAAATATTTCCTGCACAAACACTTAACAAAAAAGCACATATGGCTTAACAACAACTTAATAAATAACGTGAATGGCAGTGCTCCGCTCCTGCCACCCGAGCTGTTGTTCTGCACAGGCAAGGGACAGTCCTGGTCTGTCTCATCTGCTGTGCAGCAAAATCAGTGCTTGGGATCTTCTCCACTTCCCACGTGCCCAGAATCCCAGTTCATGGAGACATGCAGGCTTCGGGGCTCAGGGAATTGCGGAGGCTCGAAGGAGCCCTCGTGTAGACACAACAGCAGCATTTGGAAGCAACTTGCCACTCGCTTCTCCTCGAAGAGATCAGTGCAGCTGAACCTCCCCAAATCCCCAAGTTTCTTGAAAAACACACATGAAAATGGCCCCTCACACCGAATACTCCATTTTGTTACAAATTATTTTACAAGCTCAGTCCTTTTAAGTTTTTTATATGTTTTCATCATCAATGTACAACTCCTGGTCATCACTGGACCTTGATTTGAGATTTCAGGAGTCCTGACATTTTCACTAGGAAAGGCAATTCAAGGACACTGCTATCAAGCAAACAAATATATATATTACAGCTATATACATCACATTCTTCTTTTCCCCTGAAAATCATAGAGGTATTTCACACAGCTGCACACCATTCTTAAGAGGGCTGTTCGAGCGCCTTTCTAGTAGTGTCAAATTTTACATTCTCTCCTGGAAGATGTTCATCCTTTTACTGCAACTCGCCGTAGGTGCTCTAATCTTGATCAAGGGTAATGAAATATCCCAGGGCTTTCAGAAAGCCCGAGCAGATACACCTCATCCTCTTGGAAAGAGTTTGAAAGTTGGAATGAGAACATTGATTGGCCAGCAGCAAATCCTTACAATCCTTTTTTGTTCTTCCGCATAGCATAAAATCTCACAACAAACAACACATGGAAATCTTCAGACTTGCTTAAGTGCAGTGTAGGAAGGAAGACCTCATTCTTAGATGATTTTATCTGCATGGATCTTGACTTCCCAGGCTCTTCTTGATCCCATTTAGAGCAATGGACAATGGAAGACAGAGAGCAGTTCCTAGTCTCTCAAGGGCTCTTCTCTACTAGCAGGGGGAGAAACACAATCTTGAGTCTTGGAATGTCAAATTCTCAGCGAGGTCCTGAGGCACCGGATTTTTCCACAGCCTACAAGGAGAGCAGAGACGTTATTGTAGGAGGTCGTGTGGGGAGGCAAGAATGTGCCTTGGTGGAGATGGCCTCTGACTGGAGAGAAGTGCTGAACCACGTCAGCAACCTGCGTTACACGCACCACCCTTCTTCATCTACCTAATTTCTTGCCGTTTACCTCAAAGCCACCCACTGTGTTACCAAAACGTTATCAAAGATGCTTTTAGAATAGTGACTTTTCCAGTTGAGTGAAGGATGGGCAGGTCCCTCTTGCAAGATGAGGTTTTGACTGGAGTTTGGTATACAGGTTTGGCAGAGCAACGACACAGGGTGGGAGAAACTGGGAGTGTCCCAAGTATCTGCAAGATACGGATCCCAGGAGAGAGGGTGGGATGGGGCAGGAAAATTTGGAAAGGGAAACCAGATGTAACAGGGAAAAAAAAAAAAGCCTTAAAGGGAAAATGGGAAAATGCAGCAGATTTCCTGACAGGGAGACATTAAGCAAGTGACCTTTGTTTTTGTCTCATTTAAAGCCAGAAGGTCTTTTCTGTCCCTTCATCCCGTGGCTTTCTGGGGATCTGGACCAGTCCATCTCAGGGCTGGTCACCCCGTGACGTCCCCGGTTGAGCCAATACAAAGCCAGAAGGTCTTTTCTGTCCCTTCCTCCCGTGGCTTTCTGGGGATGTGGACCAGTCCATCTCAGGATCCAGCGACAAAGCTCCGTGTCACCTGCTTACCTTATGAGTTGAATTTCTGGGCACTTGGCAAGCTCCTCTGCTAGCTTTGTGGCCCCATCTGCTCCAATGATATTCTTCTCCAGACTGTTTTAAAAAACAAGGAGAGACAAAGTCTTGGGGGCCAAAAAATGCTAGAAACAGCTCCTCTTGCCACAGACACAACCTTTGTGCTTACACCTTCAGAAACTGTACTGCGTAGAGACAAATAACCAATTTCTGATCCTCTGAACCACAAACTAATGATTTCAAATAGCGAAGAACACGTATCTTGTATTTCAAAGGGCCAAAAGGAGGAAAGCTCCATCTCCTTGGGCAGGAGATGACAGTCTGTCCCCAGGGGTAGGGCTGGGCTGTGATGCCCCTGAGCCGGTGCGTGATCTGGTGCCATCCATCGCAGCTACTGGTTGCAGTACAGCTCAGGAGCTTCTTCTGAGCTTCCCGTGAGCTCCTATGGCCCAAGGCCCACAGGTTGCTTCCTCCATTCTGGGGAGAGGAGTCTCAAAAAGGCAACTCTAAGGAAGCTACTCATCTAGACCGTCCTTGTCATCAGAGAGAAATAAAAGCTTGCAGGAAGCAGCTCACCCAAGCTCACGATATGACTCGGGCCTGAGAAGTGCTACATGAGTGCCTGCCTGCTGGGTACTGCACTAGCAGGACTGGCCATCCGCTGTGTACACAGCAGGCGAAGAAAGGATTCGAACCTGGAAAGGTGGTGATTGGAGGCTCAAAAAACTCAAAAAGAGCGTCCCTGGGGTTGCTGTCAGGTCATACTCACTCTAACGTCTTCAGTTTTTCCATCCTTGGGAGAGCACTGGCCAACTCCTGGGCTCCTCTGTCACCAAGGGTGTTCCAAGACAATCTGAGATGGACAAGAAACCCCAACTGGTGAGTCAAGCCAAGCCCGAGAGCAGGTGAACAGGGTGAACGTCTGGGGAACAACAGCACTGCTGGGATACGACCCATCATCGAGTAGCCCAGACTAAGAGCTGCTTGCCTTCCCCGGCTTTACAAGCTTAACTGAGGAAGAGTTTCCTCAGTTTCACATCTTTGTGTGTAAGAAAAGACCAGGCTGTCTTGTCACATAGCCAGGGACCACGGTTATCCCTGGAATCCTATAGGTGCCAGGAATGCGATGCCAAAGGTGGAGGTGACAGCTGAGCACACAGGATGCTCATCTTTGGGTTGGTAGCATTAAGCTATTGTGGCAGCTAAGGTGCTCCTCAGACCTGCTCTTAAAGCCTCCCTTGGTCTCTAAACTCTTTCAAATGATAGACCATGGGGCACTTGAGAGGTGGATTTTTCACTTTCTGGTGTTTTAGCACATGAGAAAACGTCAGCTCCTTTCTTTGCCACGTGCTGCACAGCCTGGCCGTTTTCTTCTCCGCTGGAGATCAAAACCCTAGCATGGCCCCAGGCAGCACTTCACTGCAGCACTCAGCTACCTGCTCCTGGCGTCACACCGCAAGCAGCAGCAATGCGCCTACACACCAAACATTGCTCTACTCCTCCCCTTACTCCATTTCGAACTCCTCAGGAATGTTGCAAGACTGCTGTCCCCACCTAGATTGTGTGGCATGAGCATCAGACCTCACCTCTGCCAGGCCTGGCAATAAAATCCTGCTTTGACAGCCCTAAGACAGCTGGGATCACCACAGAGATACCTTTTAAGGGAGGGAGATGAAGGTCTGGTGGCCTTCAACCTGGCTATGATTTGATTCACACCATTCATGAGAACTTTGTAGAAGAAGAAATGGAGGCACATAGGAACTAGCTACACTCATCTCAAAAAATGGAGGCAAAATTTGGACAACAGAGAACGTGGGCTAGGAGTCTGACCCTCATCCTGAAGGAGATACTAAAATATGAAGGATAATGGACAGGGCCTAAAGATGAGAGTTTTCCTCCATGTTCTGTTCCGCTCTGCAGACTCTGCTTCCAATAAGCTCCTACTTATACCAGGAAATGTTTTCTGGTCAATTTACTCAATTGGTAAATTACTAGTAAATTTATCGCTAAAACATACATAGCAGGAAGTATCACTAGATACTTAGTGGGGTCAAAAGTGTGACAGTAAGAGCAGATATTAAGATATGTTGGAAGAAGCCCCCCTCCACGCCCACACTCACATTATCTCCTCCATGGAAGGGCACTGTCTGAAGGCACGAGAAAGCAATTTAGAAGCAACATCAGTGATGCCACAGAGTTTCATGCTGAAGCAAGGAGGAGAGAGATAAAAATAATAATTTTTTTAAAAAAAGTTTTGCATTTTTAGTAGCTTGGATTCAATATCAACAATCAGGGAGCAAGAGGAGTCTCGTTCTGGCAGTGTTACCAACGGGGCCAGCCACGCACTGCCCCGGTAGCACCCAACGCCCAGGTACTTACTCAATCTTTCGGAGGTTTTTAAAGCATGGCAGACCCTTGGACAGGGCATGGACACCTCCTTCCCCAAGGCAATTTTCTGATAAGCTGCAAGAATAACAGAAAAGCTTTGAGCGACCGCAGGAAGAGCAGCCACAGTCATAGAAAAGCCATAGGCAAGAGGTAACTAGGTGAGTTAACCTGCCAGTAACTAGGACCCAAGCTAAGATGAGCTAGAACTCTTAGCGACAGCAGGGACAGGCCAGACTGGAACATGGCAACTCTGGGTTACTTTCCCGCTCAGTGAAACGGGAACGACAGCCCTGTCCTAACGAGCAAGCATGAGCCCTTGCAGCAGTGGAGAGGCCTGGAGATGCCACCACAGAGATGCACCAGCGCCTGAGCTGCACCGACCTGCAACCTCTCCTGCGCTGCGTCTGAAACGGGCCACGAGGAGCTGTGTTAGAGTCAATGGCTGGTGTGACTGAAGAGGAATGGAAGCAAACGTGTCCAAAGGGACAGTGAGAGGAAGACAAGGGCTCTCAAAGGCTCAATGGGCAGCAGTAAGTGCCTCCCAGGCCTTACGACCAGGTGCTGCTCCATTCTCAAACCGGAGCCACGGCATCTGTCTCCGGTGAATTTCCCGTTTCACCTTACCTGAGCTCTTCCAGCCGCTGGCATCCCACCAGGGCTCCGGCCAGCTCTGTGCTTCCACTTGGCCCAATGTTAGTGTTCTGCAAACTGACAAGAGAAGCACAAGGATTTGAGGGTTATTTCAGGATAAAGCTGTAACAAAAGCTCATATTTAACTTGCTAAGACGACAACTGTCACATCTCTTGAATTGGCACCTGGTGCTGGAAATAACCTGGGGTCTTTGTGGTTCACTCTTAATGAAGGGGCCTTGAAAAGCACATGGGCAACATGTTCCTCATGACAGTGAGGAACGACCCAAGGAACCAAAGAGTGAAGAGGACCTCAATACAAGAACCTATCTGCAAGGACTCAAGTTTCCCAGCACAGAGATTGCTTTTCTTAGTTATCTTTTGAAGATACTTTAGACTTAGCTTGGAAAACATCCTGCAGGCTACTTGAGCCCAGCTCTTTTAACCTGCAGATCTCTTGATTTGCTACTGTGACACAGTATGGGAATATCCTATGAGTTAGAGCCTTGGAAATACTCCCACACGAGGTTTAAAATATAGTACGTCTGAGTTCAGGGGGGAATACGAGTCAGCTGACTGCACAAGATAATAAGGGACCATGCAGGTGCTCAGGATAAGACTACCTGAAGAGGGTTTCTCAATCCTGAGCCACATAAAATAAACTCCAAATCAACCACTTCAGTCTACACCTGCTTCTTTTTTCAGCACTTTCTTTCAGCCAATCCAGAAATTCCCAGGATATCCTTCTTTCCTGGAGCAGAGGCTGATACTTACTGCAGGATCTTCAGGTCATTCATGCAAGGCAGACAGAGGGCAAGTTTCATTGCTGTCGTGTCACCAAAATGATTCCTAGATAGCCTAGAAGGAGCAGAAAGGAAAATGTAACTGGCAGCAAACTGCAGAGCGTCACTCCTGACCTGCATGTGGACAACACTTATCTGTGAGCCACGTTCTTCACCCACGTGTGCGTGGGACTAATGCAGGAGGAGAGAACGGCCGCGATCCCAAGGCACTGGGAACAGGCAGAGATAACGGGGACGCTTTGTAATCCTGCAGCAGAAGCTAAGCAGGGAAGTAAAATATGCTGTGCTCGTCCTGCGGCAATGCTGCTGGTCATCACCGTGGTGGTAGCGTGGACAGATGGGAAATCATATAATTGACTATTTGTTTATTTATTGTGAAAATTTGCTGCCTTCTTGCAGTCAACTTGGCTTATTCCACAGACTAGCCAAGCCAGGAGGCCATTGCGAGGGGAGACTTGCCCCATGAAACACATTGGAAGGTTTAGTCCTGAGCAGCAGCAGGAGTCCTGCGTGCGTGGAGGCCAGCAGAGCAAGATGCCTCTGTTCTGCAGCCACGCAGGCTGCTCTCTGCAGCAGCTCCAGCACTGCACAGCCCTTGGGTTTGCAGCTCTGGTGGAGTCTGCACAGTTGGAGGAATCTCCAAGAAACTGCAAGGAACATATAACCCCCACCCCAGCAGATAGAGTCATTCTGGCTTTGCTGGGGCCAGGTCAGACTTGGTTTCTATGCCTTTATTTGCACCCAGCTTCTTGAAGGGGCACTGGGAATGATGCACTTACAGCAGCTCCTCGATGCGCTTGCAACAGGCAAGAGCGTCCATGAGCTTTTCTCCACCGACAGGACTAGGAATGTTTCCAGAGAGGCTAAAAAAAAGGCATGAAAGACAACTGAGCTAGTGGTGTCTTGGCTCCAAAAGGCTCCTGAAAGCAGGCAAGTGCCCACCGTCATCTCCGGGCACAAGGGCCTGAGCAAAGGAGTGTAACCTCCACTCTTGGAAAGTTTGCTACACCAGCATGGAAAGCTGCTGTCAGGCCCAAGTGTATTTGGGCCGGGAAAGACCTTCCATTTGCTTTGTAGTCTTTTTATGAGGTCTCTGATGAGAATGGAAACGCTGGAAGGAGTCGGGGCATTGAATAAATGATGGCAACGCAGAGCTTCCCACACAGGCTTTCCCACCAACTCTGGCTCTAACCAAAATCAAGCCAAGGAAAACAAAGTGACTCACTTGATTCTTTTCAGGTTTGGCATTTCCAGCAGGACAGCAGCTATATTTATCAGGCCTGGATCTCCAATCTTGTTGTGGCTTAAACTTTAAAGAAGGGGGGAAAAAAATAGAGAGCTGCATGGTAAAGGAAAACGCTAAGTGTCAGACAGAGCACGACATCTTATTAAACATCTCCCATGAGCTGCGTGACACAAAGTTCTCTTCTGACCTTGGCAGCAGGGTCAAAGAGCTGCTTCTCTTAACCGTCCCATGAAAAACTAATAACTGTTAATGACGCATTAAAAAAAATCACAAATAGCCATCAAAATCACTGCAGGATCTTATTAAGTGATGGGAAATGCCTACAGCCAGAATCTCAAGGCAGGCATGGTTATCAGGCTCCATACCACCATGGCCCAGTGTGGAGATCTAGATTCTGAGCTTTCCAGAACAGGGAAGTGCTGGGTCCAAGGTTACCCCAGCAGAGAAGGGGGCCTGCTGCCCTGCTCTGGATCCAGGAGAATCCAGGAAAAACTTAAATCCAGAGGCTTCTTTTAACACATGCGACTGCAGCAGAGTGGGATTGCACCAAGCTGCCTTTCTGAATGGCACACTCCGGTTTCCTCTAACCCAAGGTAGCTCATTATAGAGCATTTTGCAGCCTCCCTGTTTTTGTAACAACACTCTTCATAAGCACATCTGGACCTCCCCAACACCAGCACTGGTTCTTAATGCCCTGCTGACACGAGTCCACACGAAACAAGGAACTTACTCTATTTCCTCCAAGCAGTGCATTTTCCTCAAGGCATCTGCAAGACTGGGGCAGGCGTCATCACCAATACTGTTATGGTTCAGGCTGGAAATGAGAGCCCCAGAAAAAAAGGGACATTAAGCTAGCATTCCTCAAAATAACGAGGCTATGGGCGACCTGCAGTCACATACTCACAGCAGTCTTTTCAGAGAGGGCATTTCACCAAGGCCCAGCACAAGCTTAGGAACAGTAGCATCGCTGAGGCTCATGTGGCCTAGGCTAAAAGACAGAGAGATGCAGGGAGAACTAACTATTCAAGGGTCAGACCAGGGTGCCAGAGTATGTAAGGAAGGAAAGCAGGGGAAGGCTCAGAGCCATGGCCACCAGACCACCCTCTGGGACTGAAATGTTGGTTCTGAATTTGCTGATCTGGAATCGCTGCCTCCCAGCTCAGACATGATCCATACAAATGCCAGGTACCCAAACGTTTGGTTTCCCCATGAGACACTGACCACCGATCTCCATCTTTCCCACCCCTCCTTCTTTACAAATTAAAAGGCAGCGTCGCTGATTCTGTATCTGAAGCTCCCCAGCTGTCAGGAGACACTTCCACCTGTCCCCACTATGGGCAGAAAGGAGGGTGCAGTTTAACTAAGGCATCTAGAGAGACCTGGACAGCCCGGTGACGAGGCACTTACTTAAGCTCTTCGATAGCCTGGCAGTTCTGCAAGCCGGCAATCAAGTAATCAACTCCCGTGGGCACAATCCTACTAGAGGTGAGTCTGCAAAACAGCCAGGATCAAACAAGAAGGTCCTCACAGATGGGCTCAGCACCAGTCACAGAGCTCATGGCCACCTTCCACACCAGGAGCTTTTCAGGGAGGAGCAGGGCAAGGGGTAGTGTTTAGCAATGTGTAAAGCACAGAGGGGAGACCACAGCCATGCACATGCAGCAGCAGAAAGCAAAATGAGGCATGAGGACATACGCAAACTTCTTCAACGCTGGAAGAGGCAGCAGAACACTGACTAGCATTTCTGCCTCGTCACCCTGGAGCTCGACGTGAGACCATCTGTAAGAACACAACAACAGGTCTGGGCTATACCCACTATTGACAAAACGTCTGCAGCCAGCCCACAGCCAAAGCACTGAGGTGCTGGGACATCCCGAGAAGGTCCCAGGACACCTGAGAACGGCCCACAGAAGCTCCCAGTCATGGTAAGAGAGCCCAGGTTATCTGGGCAGAGTGACTTAGGCCCATTCACAGGACAGCCTAGAGAGCCTCTGAGCACGCAGCCACTTTGATTTTCCACCCAAACTCCCTAAGGAAAAGAGAAGGGGAGTCCAGAGGGCAAGGACTAGGACCTTGTCCCCCCTCACACAAAAGGACAAGCTGCTTCCTTCTCCCCACAAAAGCCCGTGCTGCCTGGCAGCTCACCTCAGTTCCTGAAGCTGGGCACATTTTTCACGAAGCCTTTGATAGAAACAAGCGCGCCCAACGTCCAGCTCGTGCAGGTTGAGTCTGTGGGATGCAGATACACACAACTGTGCAGCGGCATTCGCAGCGGCCCCCAGCCTGCCCGCTGCAGCCCCGTTAGGAACAAGCATATTTTTTCCCTCGTGCAGGTTTAGCATGGACCTGGAAGAGGTTGGCCTGCAGGACACCAGCCCAGCGCAGGGCTACAAGGATGCTCAGGGGCCTGGAACATCTGCCCTATGAGGAGAGGCTGAGGGAGCTGGGCCTGTTCAGCCTGGAGAAGAGAAGGCTGAGAGGGGACCTGAGCAGTGTCTAGAAGTACCTCAAGGGAGGCAGTGAGGAGGATGGGGCCGGCCTCTTTTCACTGGTGGACACAGACAGAACTAGAGGAAACGGCTGGAAACTGAAGCACCAAAAGTTCCACAGGAACAGAAGGAAAAATTTCTTGCCAGTGAGGGTGCCAGAGCACTGGAACAGGCTGCCCAGAGAGGTTGTGGAGTCTCCTTCTCTGGAGATCTTCCAAACCCGCTTGGACGCAGTCCTGTGCCACGTGCTCTAGGTGACCCTGCGTGTGCAGAGGGGTTGGACTAGATGACCTCTAGAGGTCCCTTCCAACCTTAGGCGTTCTGTGATTCTATGACACATGCAAGAATAACATGAATAATCCCTCAGCTTGTGTGGTACAGAGGAGCTCTGGAACTGAGCCCATGGAGCCCTAAGCTCCAGACCCCGCTGTGATTTTCCTGATCTCACAGTGACTTGCAGAACAAGCAGCAAATAACGCTGAATAGGGCCTTTCTCACCTGCTAACGACTGACTCCATCTTCTCCATGCAGGGTGGGAAGCCCACGCATAACTGGAAGAGGGTTTTATCTTTACATATCCTGGAAGGCAGAGAGAACATCATGAGTTTGTGTAGTCTGGGTGGGGGAAGAAAATGCAATTTTCCAGAAGAATAACGAGGAGGACCGGACGGGACAGGACTGTGCTGCTGCGTGAATGCTAATCACCTCTCTTGGGAGAGGCTTGCAAGGTTTAACCTCAGTCAAAAAAACTGCCTCTAACTTTATCTGAGCCAGCCCAGTGTCAGCCAGCCTTGCCAAACCTGCCCCATGCAGCCCTTTGCCTTGTTTTCTGGTGGTTAGTATGGCACAAGCACAGCCAGAGGCTCGTCACTGCTCTCCTGCACAAATGCTCCAGGACTACTACAGCCTCAGCTGGGCACCTTTCCCCTGCGTGAGACCACGAACAGGGCTCCCTCCCACTACCCGATCACAAACCTTCTCAGGTTGTGAGACTTAATTGACAGATATCTGGGGCAAATGCAGTTCGAGTGGGATAGTGGCTTGCAAATGCATTGGAGAATGAGAAGAGAGAAGAATGAGCGCAAGTAAGAGCGCCACCTTCAACCCCGTTTCCTTAAAAAAGCGGGTGGGCTAAAAGAAAAAATATAAAATATGTCAGAACTTGAGGCACTACTTACGTGATCTCGGTAATGTTCCCACAGGCCTGGAGAGCCAGCTCAAGAAGACTCTTGACACTTTCTTCACTTACCCATGGCTCTTCTATGCTGCAGAGAAGCATGCAGACAGCTCTGCTTTAGTCTCCTGCTTCTTTATGAAGCAGGTGGAGGTCTAGCAAGACAGCACAGACTACAGCCACAGCTCTCTATGAAGCAGCAAAGTGCTCTGAGATGTTGGGAACATTAGCTCAGTAACGAATCAAGGAGATATAGCCAAAACACCAACAACTTAGAGTGGGAATTTCTCGGAGCAATGCTGCCTATCTTTGAAAGAATCACAGCTCTCTGATGCTTTTGAAGAAAGCAGATCTTAAATTATCAAGCCAGCCCCAGATGGATAGGTAGAACATGACAGTGACACTCTACCTGATTTTCAGAGGACCCAGGTTTTTCTTCAGAGAATGCAAAAGAACCTCTGCAATTTGGACTGTCACATTGTTCTTTGAGGATCTAGAACAAAAGGTCAGGGGAAATAAAGGCTTGCGAACAGGCCAGGTCAAAGAGGTCCAAACAGAATTTGCTTGGGTCGTTAGCTCACACGTATTCTGTCAGACCGGAGCACTTTCCCAGGACCGAGCACAGCTTTTCCAGGTGCTCTGGCTGAAAGCTGCACTCTGTGAGTCTGAAAAGATGCAGAAGAGAACAGTCTTAGTTTCTTATGAACAGTCAAGCTTTCTGACCTGGCAATCCTCACAGATTTCAAAAAAAAAAAAAAAAAAAGATGACACCCAAACCTTAAATGCTTTGCAGGGCTTCCAGAGACTCTGGCAATGTTTTAAAAGCATCTGTTGAGCTGTGCTCATGCAGGCCTCCCTAATGGCTTTCCTATGGCAGTACTACAGCTCTGCAGAGCACCTGTGAGCGACCCCACGGGGGTCATGGTGACACCAAGCAGGTACCCACCATGATACACTCAAAAGTCCTGGTCACCTGATCCTCCAGAGAAGGGGCCTGTCCAGAGCACTCCCCAGGGCTTTTTTGGATGTGAACACTTTTCTTCACTAAGGGAACTACAGCATGGAGTGAAGTTGGGCAAGGTATGGCAAGGTCTCATTCAGGAATATTCAGATATAACCAGTTCAGATATAACCAAGGTGACAGCATTGAATAAGATTTATGAAGGCAGACAAGGCAGTGTGACACCTTCAGCCCACTGCAGAGGTGAAGAACAGTCAGCACAGAAGCTGTGAGATAAGGGGATGTGGGATTTTAGGTGATGTGAAAAAGCACTTCCCATTAGGTGAATCGACAAAAATATACCATAAATTACTGCAAAACATCACTGTGCCTGGAGCACAAAGGTGAAAAGAGGTTTTGTCTCCCTTCTCCCTGGGAAAATACCACCTTTGTCAAAGAAATCACACAAAAAAGTCTGTACTGTTACCTCAAAACCTTTCTTGGATCATTTCTGGTTGTCAGCTTGATGATTAAAGTCGCTTTGGAGCACAAACTGCACAAGAGAGACATGTGAGTGTGAAAGCCACTATTTCCCCAGTGGTCAGAATTTAAGGGCACATCAAAAGGCACAAAGCAACACAGCAGTGATCTAGTTACCCAACCCAGCTATATTTGGCCAGTAGAAATGGATATAAAACAAAGTTTTGCCCACACAAATATATGAGAAGTTAGTTATAGCCCTTGTTGTTATTGCCTGAAGATCACAAACTATACAATAACCAAAAGGAAAATACACAGAGAAGAGTCAAGAATTAGTAGCAAGAAACACCTACCTGACTTGAATTTCAGTGGTATTTCCAGATGTGGAAAAGGTATTTATGAGATCCAGAACTCCATCCTGAGAAACCCTGTTATGGCTGAGGCTGCCGAGAAGAAAGCAGGAAAGTTCTTAAGATGTCAAGTGGGTTGTTTCCAAGCTCCTTAGCCACAGAAGCTGAATTCAGGTTGGCACTGAAGGCAAAGCAGTTTGTGGGTCCCTTCCTGTCAAAGCCAAATGTACCAAACCCCTCCAAGACACATCCCCAAAAGCTTGGGTGACAAAGCCAACTTCCAGCTTGCCTGAGTGGCACTAGAGAGGCAGCCTGCAGACACCCTTTGCCCATCAGAGGGGGAAAAAGTGAGGCCAGAGTAGGGCACATCTGAGCTCACAAGATCTCTGTGCCTTGAGTTATTTAAAGGGGATAATCCTCACAGAGCGGCGATGACTTGAAAACTCAGGCGACTCCATCAACTTCTGCCATGCTCCTCCACTCAGGAGCATGGTAGCTCCCACTGATGCCAAGGGAAGGGCTGACAGACTTCAGCAGGGCTGGGATGAGACCCCGAGTCACATCCATAGTCACTTGGAGCTTGTTTCTCCAGCCGTGCTGGATGAGAGGCCCAGCCACTGGCTCCATAGATGAGCTCTGCGAGGCACCTGCTGCTCCTCCCAGGGCATCCTGCTCTAAAAAGGGCTCGAGAAATTCCCCAAACACTCAGGTTCACAGAGCACTCTCTTACTTGAGGGAACAGGTAACGGATGCCTGATGCAAGTGGTCCAAGAGACGCCTCAGGCCTTCATCTCCCAGCTGATTTCTGGAAAGACTGAAAGACAGAATGAGTTGGAGAACAAACTCAGCCTTTTGAGCATTAGTGCTCCTGTAAAAAGCTACTTCTGAGAAAAAAAGATAAATTTCCTGGGCTTAAATCCCAGCTAAGTCTTTACAGTTCTGTCTCATACAAGCTGCTACCCTACAAACACAAACTCCAGCAAGGTAACTCTCAGGTGAAGCCATGGCGTAAATACATCAAAACAGCCACCACTGAATGAAAACCCCAAGGATGCTGTCCCATACAAGCTCAATTCTTCTCAAAAGGCACATAGAGGAGCTGTGCAATTGCTGATTTTCTTCCATTTCCAGGTATTTTGAGACAGCAACTGGCACACACCAATAGACTGAGAAAGCAGGGCAATGGACTCAGCTCTCCCCCAGTGACTCCTGTTCAAGGACCCAGGAAAAACACTTACTTTATTTCTGCCAGCCACCCATGCTGCTCCAGGACACTGCAGAGCTCATCTAGCTGCTCTTCACCAATGGCACAGTCAATCAGTCTACATAAGAGAGAAAACAAGAGTGTTCAAGTATGTCCAGCAGCCAGGCTCAGCATCAACAGAGAGCCACTTGGCAGCAGATGCTTTTTTTATACCAGTCTGTGTGCAACATTGGGGTTTTTAAAGTTGGTGATGTGATCCCTCTGCTGAGATGAATGTAGTTTTGCGTCTTTCACGTTTCTTACACCACCTCCATGAAGCTAGCAAGGATCAACCCAGGGTTACAGGTCTTTTATTGCCTGGGTGTCTAACTGGAGATGTGTTAGAGCCTTCTTTGCAGGCAGAGTAAGCAACCATCACTCCCCCAGAGGTTGCAGATGTGCGACACGTGTACATCACACAGATGTTCACCTGGAGTTGGTCACTCAGAATTTGAGGAACATGAGGAAAATGTGACAGAGCTCAACTCAGTTGCCTGTGCAGTGGAATCTGATGCCATTTAGGATGACCAGGCCCATAGCCATTCGAGCTATGCACCCCTGCTATCCCATGGCATCTTAAATGGTGCCAAGATTTGCATTGAGGCAGCTGAATTAAGCCCTAGATCCTAAGTTACTAGCCCTAGCTCTTTGATTAGCAACCCATGTGTCCTCATCCAACCATGAGGTTTGTTCACTTGCACTGTTATTTCAAACCTAGTTAAAATAAATGAATTTGCAATTGTTGCATGCCAGTACCTGCAGGATGTCTTTTTGTTTTCCATGCTTGTTCCAAAATGCAGGAAAGCATTTTTCCTTGCCCTGCAGCAAACACAAAGACAGTCCTTCAGCCACATTCTTCAAAGGAAACAAGCTTTAGATTCTCTGCAGCTGAGCTGCTGGGCTACAGTCTGAATGTCTTACCTCACTTCTACCTTTCTGATCCGCTCACAGAGGTTGATGGAGTTGGCCAGTAAGATGATGCAGTGTGGAGAAAAGTTATTGTTCCTAATACTGGAAAGAAAGAATGAAATCAGCTCACAGAAAGAGTGGCTCCTATACCTAGGGTCTGATTCTCCCCTTGCTTCCTCCTGAGATGCAAAAGCCTGGATCCATCCCATTTAATTCAAAATCACTGAGTGAGGAGCTGAAGTTTGGAGCAGGGTTCCTTTTGTATCAACAAAGATGGCAAGACATCCCAAGGGGGAGCTTCAGAGCTCAGCTGAAGCTTTGGCTCAGTTGTGCTGGGTCATCCTCTGCAAACACTTCTTTGTCTCCTTGGGCTAACAAGAGAGCCCAGGCCAAGGGGTTACCCTGAATTACCCTGAACACCTCCTCTTGGAGTGGTAAAGGGCAGGCAATCGGCTGGGAGAGACACGGCCTTGAAAAGAACCTCCCCAAGGGAGTGAATTCAGTCTCCCAAGATAGCAGCTCCTCCACACTATCACCTTGCAGGACACAACTAAGCCCTTCTGTGTCCTTTTTTGCCCCCATGGTGACAATCTGTCTGCACCTTCAGGGTGATGCCTAATTCCATGCCTAAATAGCTGACACTCTATAGCACTTGACACTAAGCGGGCAACATCGTTGCCTCGCGGCAGCAGCCAAAGCAGGTTCCCAAACACACCTCAGCAGTATCAGATGATGGAGACGAGGCAGGAAGGTCAGTAATCTCTTAATGCATTGCTCATTCAAAGAATTCCCAGACAGGCTGCAAAACATGGAGGAAAACAAGTTCCAAGAAATGCTGGGACAATCTCTAAGTATTTCTGTAATACCGCTATGGGCACACGCACAAAAATGGGCCCGGGTGGGTCATGGGCAAATGCTGAAATAAGACCACGTCCAGAAGTGTGCTGAGAGTTGGGTCAAATTTAGTCTTTATGGCTAAAGAGGCTGGTTCTTGTGTTTCTTTACAACCAGTCAAAATTGCAGTGTTAAGTTTTACTTTTGTGTTAGTGTAAATTTATAAAAATCATGTTACTGCTGCATTTCCCGCATGCAATGCTGCTATCCTGCAGCTTGTTATTATTCATTTTTTATTTCAAGCAATATTCTTTTAATTTTCTTGGCACCAGGCTCCTGTTTGCAGGGTGACCAGTTCTTCAAGAGTCGGTTCTTGGCTTTCTGGGCAAGGTGCTGTCCCTGTGGCTACATTGCAAGCAGGATCTCAAGCACTAGCTGGTGCTTTACCACATGACTGAGGAAGACTAGGAGAACATGTTTTCTGAGCTGTTTATCTGCAGATTTCATAGAAAAGACCAAAATCTGTCTGAACTAGCAAGGATAGGGCAAAGCATGGATTTATCTAAACATCTAGCTGAAGTCTTAGGGCATTTCTTGGTCATGGTAAGTCAACTTGGAGGTCCCATATGCTGCCCAGAGCGTGCCCTGAATGCAGTCTGAGCTAGCAGTTTGGGAAAGCGACCCTGATGGGAGAAGACATTTCCCTGCCTTGGACTCCACCTGAGGAAAGCAGAACCCACTTGCCCAGTCTTTGCACACTGTTCCACACATCCTGGCTTCCTCCGTTCAGCTGCTCCTCAGCTCTAGGCGCAGGGCAACCGAGGCAGCGGAGTGATGCTGATTCCTACCTACTGCTGATCCAGCTCCCCTCTCTGCAGCTGTGGGCTGGGAAGACGGACACACGGACATGTGGTTGCTGCATGCGTGGCACTTACTCAATTTGTGTGAGCTGGGTGCAGGCAGACAGGATCTGGCAGAGCCTGCTCACATCCTCAGGAGCCATCGCGCAGTCCCTGAGACTGAAGCACACAAAGCCCTCAGGAGCTCAATGCTTCCCACCCCCACGTGCAGCACCACTCCCTGCCACCCCGAATCACCGCCCTGCTGCGGTGGTGCCTCCCTGCAGCCACATCACCGGGACTTACATTGCCTCTAGGCAATGGACAGCATCCTCCCCTGCTGCCTACTGTTCCAGCTCTCCTGCAGCAAGGCAGAGGATGGTGCCTCCTCTACCATTCTCCAAAAAGGAAATTGGAAAAACCTCCCAGGGGATGAGTCTCCAGGAGCCAGGTCTCTATCTCATTACTTAGAGGTGGCACACTGTCCCCCTGCCCCAGGAGAGCGGGGCAACGTCTAAGAGCTTGGCCAAGCGGAAGGTGCACCTTTTATTTTAATACATGCACTCATAGCAGTGGATGTCCCAGGTCTATCCCAGGAGGGTGTATTATTCGCCCAGCGCTGTCTCTCTGGTGGCCACACAGCCAGGAATGGCGGCAGCTGGCCTGGAAGGCTTTTCCAAATTATACCATCCAAGATCATCTTCTTGTAACCAAGTGTTATTTTTAGGATTGGCCTCCTAGAGCAGTTTTAGCAGGGAAGGGAATGGAAAGGATATATACTAAAGATAGACCTTTTCCAGAGGTGTGGAATATGTGTCACCACCCCTTCCCATTTCTGTGCTTGCTCCATCAGTAACGATGGGTTATGCACAGAGGAAAGAAACATCTGCTTTCCAAGAGAGCTGAACCTGTCTCTGAACATAGGGCACAGAGCAGCTCTTTGAGGAGCAAGACCTGGAGACATGTCGGGTCCCACATGTTTTGCTAAAGATACAGACCCCACAGCCCTCTCTCCTCCCACTCTTGGGTGACAAAAGGGAGCTGGGGTTGCCATACCAAAAGCACTGGCTGTTTGTTCCAGGCTTGGGATGCGTCAGGAAACATCTTCTGGATCTGCTGACACTTCTGACCCTGAGGAAAGAATGTTTTTCCCCCCATCAGCTGTGCTGTTATCGCCCTCATGTAGCAGACTCTTTACCCTGCAGCTTGGTGAGGTGGTGACAGGGGCCTCTTGCTCCAGTCTGCCTCCCTTCCCCACCTGCCTGTATCAGGCTCCTGTTGTGCCCAGAACTGAAAGGGTCTTAGTGCCTCTCTGCAGAGCCCAGATAGCTCTGGATCCATGACTAAAGCCCCAGTGAGCACCAGGACACTAGAGTCTGCACCATGCCCTCAAACTGCTCTCAGTCACCCCAAAATGCATCGTCCTGCTACCCCCTGCTCCCCCACCCAGGCTGGAGCTCGGAGCCAAACAGCTCTTTAACTAACTGGGACATCTCAGGGACTCACACATCAGAGGAGCTCGACAGACAGCTCAGTCAGTATGATCTTACCCGATTCTTTCCCAAAAGGTTATGTGAACCTCCTGTGTGTGTCCTAAGCTGCAATCAGAGAACATGATTAGCACAGAGTTTGAAGACAAACATTCATGTATCATTCCCTGAAAAACAGGTCCTTTAGTCTTACATAGCACAGAAATATAGAAAAAAAAAATCTCCTGGCCATACCTGAGGTTCATAGTTTTAATCTGTTCCCGTGCAGACAAGGACTGAGCTAAAAAAGGCACCGAGTTCAGGGAGATCTCATTGCGATCCAGCCTAGAGAAAGGAGAGATGAAATGAGCCTCTGAAAGCAAAACTAGTAGCGGTTTGCACAGTCACCAGATTAGAACAGAAGTCCTCAGAGGCTGCTTCTCTATCACCTTGCTGTTCCTGTTTCCCACCGCAGTTCTGCCCACGCAGCTCACTCCAGGGAGTGCTAAATGTGGCCGCTGCTTTGAGGGTTCCTCCTGCCCTACAGTGGTGCAAGGTAGCAACAACCCCCGGCTGTCCGGGCGGTCATGGCAATACAAAACCCACAGCAATAAGGAACAGTCTCGGGTCTATCAGATCTGTCACAGTCTCTAGCGCGACCGCAGTGACTTGGATGGTGGTGAAAGGAGGGGAAAACCCATGTTTCATGACACTGAAGGGAGAAGCATCTCTTTCCATAGAGACAAGCGATGCTACAATCCTACCCTAGCCTTTCGTGCAGTGCATTTGTGATGGGACTGCCAGGCAAAATACTCAAAAATATCAGCCCTATTCCAGGGCAGAATTCAGATGTCACTGCTGAAGCTGGAGCTCTCCAGCATTTGTCTTCCCAAGATGCCCAGTTCTGGGAGGTGGAAGTCTATTCCTTCAGGGTTATGTGTGCACAGCCCCTCAAGCACTGATCTGAGCAAAGTTTCAAGTGAAATCAGGCTGTCCCAGACCACAGATGGGGTAAGACCAGACGGCACTATCCTTGACAAAACTCAGACTATAATGTCTGTATCAGATGCTACGCTTGATCCTGAACAGTCTTTCTCAAACCTCGATGGTGTTTCTACAACCAGGACTCCTAGAAAACCTATCTCTAAGCAAGGAGAAACAGGAGCTACTTACTTGAGCGAACGTAACATTGTCAGACTCGGGATGAGTTGAAACAGCTGATAGAGGCCTTTGTCTCCCAGAGCAGTATTTGATAGGCTAGGATTTAAAGGAAGATATTTAATTTTTATTTAAAAGAAAAGAAAACAGAAAAGAAATATAGACCCCAGACAGCTCTTAGTATCAAGACCTCTGAAATCAAAAACCTATCACCCTTATTCAAATAATATGTTCACTTCCCCTTCTCCTCTGAAGAGGAGAACCTCTTCCTCTAGGAAATCTTGGGGCTGGAGTTACATCAACACAAGAAAGCTAAGAACCTAGCGTGGGGCTCCTCCCTTCCTCATGTAGCAGACCCTCTGGACCAAGAGTGCTGCTTCATGCAGTTACCAGCACCTAGGAGGTCATAGCTCTGAAAATGATCAGCCTGGACAGGCCCAACAGAAAGGCCAGGCATTAGTCCTGGAGAAGAAGCCCCTCAGGTGGATGAAATTAGTGCCCAAGGATTCAGATCATCTATGTGCCCATGTCAGATCAAGACTACGTGACTACGCTGCTCCTTGTTCTGCCCTCCAGAGCTAGGTGCTAGGCGTGCACGTTGCCAGCATCGTGGGTATCTTTCCATCAGTGCTAGGTCTGTTGGCCTCTGGGCAAACCAAATGGTTCTTCCCAAGTAGCCTTAGCAGAGGCAAACCCTTTGGTGCAGAAGGTCCTTGCACGTGGTGTGGGATCAAGAGCAGAGCAAAAATTATGGCCAAAATGGCATTTTCACAATATCCCAACAAACTGCAGGTGTAGAACACACGAGTAACGAAGGACTCACTCCAGCTCTGAGACACTGCTACATTCCTTTAGGACTGCACACAGCTTCTCCAGGTCACTGACTTGAAGACGACTGTCGGTCAGTCTAGGAGGAAAAGGAAAATCAGTGGTCCAGGAATGTAAGGTTGCAAAGACTGTAAACCTCACTCCTTTGCAAAGGCAGATAACAAGTCAGGAGATAGTGTGAAATTAATAATTCCCTTGAAACATCTTGCTTTTCTTGGCTGCAAAATCTGATAAGCTCTGCTTCAGGCTCTTGTCTGCAAGAGGAGAGCAGAGGGGTGCACTAAATCTCAAAGGAAACCTGCGGCACAAAGAACCCAGTCCCCAGCGTCCTGGTTAAAAGCCTTCAGGCACGTTTGTTTCCATTCCTCTCCGCAGCCTAAGAGACAGCTGGGCATAGTCTGAGATAAAGCTTAACGGGAACACCTTCCCCTCCAAAGATGGGTCCAGCTCCGGACGCGCTTCCAAGAAGAGCAACAAACACCCCCAACACCCCGAGCTCCGGCTCCACGCACTGTGACATGAGCACACGGAGCCGATTCACTAACCGGTCACCGTGGTCATTCTGTGAGAAAGAGACCGTAACCCAGACTCTTGTGGGAGACCACAGACCCAAGCACAGAGAGTTTACTGCGCCACAGGCAGGGACTGACGAGCCACTGATTGATGGGATCTTTACCAGCCCTCTCATGATTCACCATTCAACTTGGAATAACTTGGATATGCTGCTTTCATCTGCTCTAGGACCCAGAGATTGGTAATACATGAAAAAAATTCATACTACCTTATTTTTTTTGAAGCAGTAGGTGTCTGGTTTTCTTCTCTATCTTCTTGGTCACTGGTAGAGAACACTGGTTCTTCCCTAGTAAGTGGGCACAAAAGCAAAACAAATTAAGGGTTAGTTACTGAAACTTAAGCAATTTCAGAAATCCCTGGGGTTCATATGGCTCTAAATGACATTCCTATCTTGCCATTTATATCTTCCCAGGGACTAAGCAAATACTTGAGAATGCAGATGAGTGGGTGAGAAGGGGAAGACAGACAGATTTCCCATCTGAGCTTCAGTTTGATGGAGAATTTGGCTTTTCCCTAAATACGTTTTGTGAATAGAACCCATGTCTGTGGAGAAATTCAGGTTTCTCATGAAGAAATGCAACATCCAAATCACAAAACACCTGAGTTTGAAAGGTAGTCACAGTTGTGTGCCTCGGGCTGTCATTCTCCTCCAAACATGGGCACAGCAACTGGGCTGCGTGCTGAGATAGCCCTGCTGTTTTGGTCTGGGCACTCGGGGGTTGTTTGTCTTTACAATTCCCTGTTATCAGAAAGCACAGTCGTCACTGAACAGGTTGCTTTGCTTAGGAGGATATGGGTGAAACATGCTCTAGAGTCATAAGAGAAGAAATATATATAGAGAAGCTATAGAAGCTAGCCTAGAAGATCCAAAATGACCAAGAAAAGGAGGAGAAAGCGCTACATTTGGATTAAGTGGAGGACAAAAAGCAAGAATTGCTGTGAGGTAGGACTTTATCCTTTGGCTCTCAAAATGAGATACGAGACCGAAACAGAATGTTGAGGAAAAGGAAATATCTGTCCAAACATACTCTACCTGGAATAAGGAGAAGCAGATTCTCTGTACCCTGTAAACCTCAAGATTGCAGTGTTATGCCACAGGCTGAGGGAGGAATAGAAAGAGCAGCAGTTAATCAACATCACATTTCGGTTATTTAGATGAATTCATGTTTTATGAATGCTCCATTTTGCTGGAGATCTGTTTAAAACTCTGTGTTGCCATCAGTCACTTAAAATATTGCCTAAGCAAGCAAAACATCATGCCATTGGCCTTAAATCCTGAGTGGATCAATTTATGTAGTATCAGATGACTCAGTGCCTCAGAACCATTCAAAGAGAAGGTGCAGAAAAACCTGTTGCTCCTGAAAACAACCCAATGTGTTTCCAATGGAAAGCTAGAGGAGCAGAACTTCCACTCCACTTCAGGAGATATCATCACCAGTTTGTATGCTCTACAGAGAACCTCTCTCCAAAACTTCTCAGGACAGAGAGCAGGAAAGAGTCTAAAACTATCCCCATGCATGAAAAGCCACGCAGTTCTCTGAGCTTTCTGAAATTCTTCTGGTTGATGGCTCACATAGTGTTAACTTGCAGTGATGTAACATCACCACGTGCAGGTGTTACCAATGGCCTCCGTGCACGTTCTTTGCCAACCAGCTTCTTAGGTGGCTTAGCACCTAAGCACGTGAGCATGTTCTGAGATACTCAGCACATATCTCAGAACGTAACTCTAAGACTTGCATATCGGGGTGAGCCTCAGAAATGATTCTTTAATCATGTACCTGACTTCAACCTCCATTATCTTCTGGCAGGTATTTACTGACTTCACCAAACTGCAGATGCCATCAATGGAAAGGTGGTTTTGACTGAGACTAAGAAACAGAAAAAAAGACAAATCACACATGCTCTAAGTACCAGGCAGGACCATCCTGATGAAAGTGGCCATTAATATATCTCAAAAGTGGCACACTGGAAGAGACCACTGTTTCTGAGAAAGGGGTTTTAATGAAAGGGCAACTGTAACACTTCAGTGGACTCTGAACAGTCTCACGGGTAGGACTCATCCTTCCTTGAGAGTGCTCAGGGAGGCCTTCACCACCTTGAGTCCTGCTCAGCATCCCTGCAAGGCCTGTGCCAAAAAAAGGGCAGTCTGGTTTTGTACGAGGCAACACTTACTCCAACTGCTTCAAAATTGATATCCAAGGGAGGCTTTTCAACAGCCAACTGCAGCCTTCATCTCCAAGGTTGTTACCTGATAAGCTGAGACATTTTCCAGTTAGTGGGGACTGTTTTGAACAGCATAAATAACAAAACCCTCAACATCTCCTTGCTTTCTCTCTCACACATTTTTTTCTTGCCCGGGCTGCTGCTCTCTCCCAGAGCAACCAGAGCAACCCCCCTGTCTCCTTGCTTCTCTCTGCAACTTGGGACACAGAATTTTATTCCTAAGGCAACATTCCCCATCTTTTAGCATGCCTTCTTCCTCTGACTTCTCCCAGAAGTGTGGGTGGCCTTAGGAGACCAAAGGGACAATGCACAAACGATCTGTCATCCCTCCAGGATTCTCCAGAGCTCTCTCAGCTCCATGTTGGCTCCAGCATGACGCACTGCTTCATTAGCAGGGTCCGCTCTGCAACCAACACCTCGTTACAGCCCCACAGAGCCAGAGGTTGCAGTTGTGACAGCAGCCCCACAGTTACTCAGTGCCCATTTCCTGAACCACTCTAGAAATCCCCACCCAAGATCCCAAGAAGCCTAACAAGGACAGCTGGGATCCTTCCTCAGGGCCCCACGTCCTTCAGCCTCTCCACAGCACATCCCCTGCTCCTCCCACCACCTGTAGCCACACAACAGGAAGGAAATGGGGCACTTACTCCACTTCTGAGAGACGGGGACAGCTCTGAAGAATGGCAACAATCTCCTCTGCATGTTGAGGACACAGGCTGAGCCCCTGCAGGCTGTGAACAGGAAGGGCAATGAGCAGTGACGGGATGGTGGGCCCCAGGCTTTCCTGGTATCCTCATCTCCAGGCCAAGAGGCACAGGCCAGTGCCGGGAGATGGGGGCTTTACTCCCTGCTCTGCTGCACAGTCCTGGGCTTGCTGCTTTGGCTCCCCATGCTCCCCATGCAGGAATGTGGAGGGCTGCACCTGGAAAGTGCTGGGCAAGTGCAAAGCTTCGTTCCAGAGCTGCCTGGCACCATCAGCTGCGCGACGGAACAGATGCGATCGTTCCCAGGGACATTGTGCAGCTTCCACGTCCTCGCACAACATGCCCAAGTTCTCTTATTTTGAGGAGAGGCAGGAGCATCTTCTGGAGCCCTGGCCTTTGGTAACTACAAGAATACATGTTGTGTATGGCCAAAGCACCACTGCCTCTCGGGCTATAGAGCCCAACACAAAAGAAATGAAGCCACTAGTACGGTCAGACAAGGATTTTTACTTTTCTTTTAATTCACTGATTCAAGTTTATCTCTAGTGTTTTCTTATGTGGAAATACACTTGTTACTTAAGGACAAGCACAGCTGATATTCTTGTCTTTCTGTGGTACCTGTCATGTGAGGATCACATTAACCAGCGGGAATTTCAGTGCCTACTCTTACCATAACTTCATGTGCCTAGTTTGAGTCACATGTTCTTTATTCTCTTCCCCTCTGAAATCCGAAGATCTGCAAAAAGGCAAAATGTTTGGCCTTGAGTATTACTTCACAAAGCATCTGAGGACTCAGGAGCTGGATAGTATTTTGGGGAGTCTTTTTTTAAAGAAGCCACAGGGCCTGTGTTCTCCTGCCCAGCCCTATCTGCAATGATTGAAAAGTTTGCAAGAACCCAAAGACCTCTCTCAGCACAAGAGATGGGATTTCACAGAATATCTGAATCAACTGCACAAGCAGAGAGAGCACAGCGGGCAACCAGCACAGGGGCAGAGGCTTTGGCTCTGGTACTGTCCGTACACAAATCTCCATCAGCTTTGCAACAGAAAGGCACCACTTTTGACTTACAGAGGTACCAAGGAACTGCCTTTGTGGACCTGGCCAGTAGATCTATGCAAACACCTCCTCTTTGGTTTACTTTCTCCAGTCAATCCTGTTGCTGGGGTGGTTACAGGGACACCAAGCTGATGGCTTGCATTAGCATCACCCTAAATAAAGCATGGCAGCAAGGGCAATTTCTTACCTTGGGGCTTTCCCGGATTGGCCGGAAAAATATATTATCACGGTGTCCTTCCTGAAAATGAGATCCAAGTCAACATCAGGGCACAGCTGGAAGGATGACATTTCTTTTGCAGATATGCTCAGCAAGGACTGGGTTTGGGCTGTCTGCTAAAGAGGGCCTTGACATCTTCCATGCGAGCATGTTCTCACAGGCAAGCCAAGAGCAACAGGACACCCAAATGTTGAACTGGGGCTTCAGCACACACAAAGAATAGCAGTTAAATAGAAATGGGTCTTTTGTGAGGCTGGCAAAGTGTTCCCCAAAACTCCATTCCAGCAAGAAGAATGGGGGAAAAGCTGCATGCAGTACAACTTCCCTTGAGTTACAGCAGGGATTAATTTGGCTTGCTGAAGTTGCAACACGAGACGAACACAAGAGTTCAGATTCAAAAATACTCCCCCTTCTCTGTTATTCTGGATATTTGAAAACATCAAAACTCATCATTTAAAGACACACTGAGATACAGCTACTTAAATTCATTTCCTTTCACTACACCAAGCTGATTTACAGCAAATTTTGTGGTGGCCAGGAAAGAACTGTGGCTCAGTTGGTTTATTGCAGAGCTTAAAACATAACCTTAGATCCTCTTACATGTGAAGCGATATTACTCACTGCAAATCAATTTCTAAATCAAGGATAAAAAGATCTACTAATATATATATAAACAGTAAGCCCATAAAATAATTTATTCAAATAGTGTCAATCTGACAACAGAAGAAAAGAACAAAACTCGTTTTCCATTGATTTTGTTTGCAACACAATTAAGCTTCAAAACAGACATTTTTCAAGATAACGTATGTTTTTCACCGCTCTCATGCACTGTTACCTGACAAGCAGCTCAGTAGCATTTTGACAGGCAACAATTTCCTTCGCCAAGAGCAGAACAACGTTCAAGGAAAGATGGTTGTAGCTCAAACTGTGAATACCAGGAGAGCATAAAGTCAGGTGCTGGACCAATAGCACACTCCTTTGGCATGCAAAAGCTTCGCACCCCAATCATGCTGAAGCACAAAAGTGCCTCCAAAATTTTAGGATTTTTGCATTTAAAACCCAATGAAGACGTTACCAGACCACAGGTTTTCCCTCCCAGTTACTGTTCCCATGAATTTAGAATAAGAGAGAATTCCAATATTTGCTACAGAAGAATCAATGATCATTTTTGACCCAAATGTAAGGGATACACTTATGACTATGGCACTGACCCATACTGCAGAGTTAAACTCTTATTGTAAGAAATCAAGTAATTTAAGTATGGCACATTAAAAAACAGTGTTCTAAACCCTCACGTTTAAAACCCTTTTGAAACCATGATATTAGCAAACTGAGGATTTATTTGTTGACCACACACTTACAATGCTGTTTTGACTTCTCTTGACATGAGACATGAAGTCTTGCTCCTACAAATCCTGTGTCTGTTTTCAGGGCTACTATTCCCACAGACTTCCAAGGTCTAAATAGGTTTAAATCCTTTTACTCACTCTATTTTCTGTAGCTTTTCCATTCTGGAAAACACATCCATCACCCTCTTCACCTCCAGGTCCCGTATCCGATTGTCCTGCAAGCTACACGTAGATTGTCCCATGATTATCCCAGGTCCCCGAGAAACGAGCAGCTGATTTGGGTGGCATTGCCACCACACACACACTCACTTCATTTCCTCCAGCTGGAGGCAATGTGAGGAAGCCTGGACCAGGTCAGATAACCCCTTGGCTGTGATGATCCCACCCGTCAGCCTGGAAAAGAAAGAACTGTTCAACAGAAGCATGGGAGACACCAACATGCCTTGGAGCATGTGGCAAAACTTCTCTCAGATGCGTGCCTGAATCACAGCCTCAGTTTTTCAAGCAGGGCAGAATTTGCCCTGGTGGCATCTCTGCACGTTCATCCATTGCAGCTCACAGACTCTTGTGGGCGCCAGGCACTGTTCTCTTCCCCACTTTGCCATCTGCAGAAGGCTAACAGGAAAACCTGCCCTAAACCACTTCCAAAAGAAAGCTTGGCTTGTAACCATGCCCACACACTTGCCTCAGCCACTGCAGAGAGCTGCCGTGGCTCCTGTCCAGACCTCAAAATCCAGGTGCAGTCTCCCACCTGCTTTCCTCTCATTTGCACAGCCAGGCCATATCTAAATCCCACCGTTCTTCTCTACTGATTCAGCTTTTCCAGCTCTCTCCATTTTGCTAAGCTGCCAAGACACCAGGACATTACAGTGTCCAAGAGTATCAAGGCCTAAGTGAAGTCTCTCCTCCCTTATGTGAAGGTATTTCTGTAGAGACTCATAGCAAAGCACTTACTCAAGCTAACTGCAAGCCCTTCTTCATCTCGTTCCTCCCCTTCTTCCACCAGCTTTATGGAAAGGAAGCCTGCAGTTTAACCCTGGAGTCCTCCCATGAGTTCTCCTTGCCCTTGCAGCGCCTGTCCGAATAGAGCTTGACCAAAACTCCAAAACAGAGCAGATCAAAACAGTGTTTCCCGAGCTTTTTGGGGGCAGGGGAGAGCCAACTTCTGGCAGTACCTGCGGGCAATAAAAACAACTCCTCTCTGCCAGATGCAGAGACGTGTGTGTGCGTGCAGAGTGAGTCTTTGGTTTCCAAAATATGCCCTGACTGCCAGTATCTGGTGGCACTACCGGGCAACAGACTGAAGGGCAAGTGCTCCTTAAGGAAGCTCCTGCCTTTTCTTGGATGCTGTGGACCACAAATGCTCTGCTTCCTTACTGAACTTGTACTTGCCACCCCTGTTCTTCCAGCAGCCCACAATACAACGCTCCTCTTGGCTTTGGGTGGCAGCACGAAACAGGAACCACATCTCTGTGCTGCTCCCTCTGACTCCAGATAGGCTTAAAGGGAGCAGATGCAACTAAACAGCAAGATGGAACCGCAGGAGAAGCAGCCCTGGCCTTACCCGTGAACACTTACTCGAGCTTCTTCAGGCTCCCCATTTTCTGAAGGCCCCTGGAAAGAGCAGCAGCAAAGTCATCACCACATCTTCTACTCCGAAAGCTAAAACATGAAGAAAAAAGTAAACACAACAAAAAACAAAAGAAACTATCCCCCTGAATAGGTTAAAATAGAGTAAAATGGGAAACTCATTGAATTGCTTTCAAAACAGCTGTTACATCATTTTCTGTTTTGCAGCAGCTTTATCTTTTCACACAACAATCAGTTACATCTGTGATGGGAGGCATTAGCAAACAGCACCATATAGTGCCTTTAGAGTATAACGTAAGAAAGAAAGCAGCTGACATGCTTGAGGACCCAGAGCCTTCCCCTTCCCTTCCAAGACAGAGTCCTCGGAGTGTGCATATTGTGAGGACCGTAACTGTAGGCAGGCACAGACTCCAGGGTGCATGAGTCTGGGAAGGACTCTCAAAAAAACCACCCCTTCCTGTCTCACCAAGCTCAGATGTCTGCCTTGTCTGTCCTTTGGAAGCAGAAGACACTACGCACTGCCCTAAGGTTCTCTGTCAGATACCTAAGTGGCTGGGATGCCTCATCAGACAGCTTTTCTGCCAGGTAACCCAATGATATTGCTCTCCTCCTTAACAGAAGGATCGACTGCTGACCTTTTTACAGTGATTTCTATATCCAGGTTTTCACGTTTCTGTTCATGTTTCTCTACTTTGGAGCAGACAGGGCATTTTCCTTCCACCTTTTCACATAACTTTGTAAAGGTATAAAATTCCCCATTCTTGAACACCTTCATCAGGGGAACTCCAGCCTGATATGTCTGTCATAAAGCGCAGAGCCAGGTATACTCCTTTGAACCTTCTTCTAGTAGGTCAAGATGGAGAATTCCCACCCACCTCCTTCTCATTTTCTCTACATTCACATTCATAAAAATACGGAATGAGATCAGCCTTGCAACAGGATCCCAAGAGATTCTCCTTGAATAGCTCTTCCAACACAGCAATAAAGCATGGGTTGGGTGTAGTTCAAAGAGCAGTGGTGGCCTCTTGCTCATCTAACTTCTGGTGATTGCACTTAGATCACAGTTCTCTCCTTTGTATGTTAGAGCCTTCCTACTTTTCTAATGTCAAGAAATACATACCATTTGCACCCTTATCTGTTGGGCTAATTATCTTCTTGTTTGATTGCTTTGGTCAAAATAAAGAACAAAAAGAAGAAAAAATAACCAGAATGGATTTATCACCTTAACATCCTTCAATCACTCATAAATTCATTATTAAATGCTTTTTTCAGTGCCAAAGATAGGCTATGAAGAGCAGAATTTCTCTTTCTTTTAAATCATAAATGCCAGTTTTGCCCTCCCAATCCCTTAACCCCCTCTCTCCCTCTCTCAGCCCATCAGCCCAAAGCACACAATATGCTTACCTCAAGCGTGCCACATTTTTACAGCTGGCCAGAATCTCCAAACACTCAATGTCCATGGGACATCCTGCAAAATCCAGGCGAGTCAAATCCTGGCCTGAGTTTATGACAAAAACCAAAGCTGACATGTCCAGGGGCGTCAGTCTAAAATTCTTAAACTCGTACTTGAAATTCGGCAGGCTCCCAATGTGCTGCGCCACTTCCAGGTCCTGCGTTTCAAACGTGCAGTGACAGAGCTCAATGACCTTAGGCCCTGTCAGGTTCGTGGCTGCCAGCCTCTTGAGCGACTGCAGGATGGAATCCTGCTTATCCTGTACCCAGGCTTCGTCTTGTTCAGCCAGCAACATGAGGAATGTCCTACACTCTTTGGAAGACAGGCCTGAGAGAAAGATGTGAAAACTCTCCACGAACTCGGTCTTGGCTTCGTTCTTTACAGTCCACTTTGATTTCAAAGAGAACTTCTTCTTCAGGTAGTTCTTGTCTACTTTCTTACTTACCATGAGACATAGTGCTGCAAAAAACTCCTGCAAGCTCAAGTGCACAAAGGCATAGCCAGCCTCTGGGAGGCCACCACTTGTCTTCACCTCAAAGACAGTCAGCAGTCCATGCAATGAAGCAAATTCCTTCACGTGCTCCGGAATATCTCCGACATAAAATACAAGCTTCTTGGCTTCCAGGCCTTTCAAGGCAAGATCACACAGACCCAAAATGGCCTTCTTGTTGCAGTTCAGCTGAGTCTCCTCACTGCCTGCATGCTCTCCCTGATGTTTGTTTATGAAGATGAGAAGCATTTTGATATAAAATTGTGTCATAGTCTGAGGAAGCTCCACACTCATCTGATGTTTAAGGAGCAAATATTCCAGACAGATGCAGACAACGTAACATAGAGCAGGGATCAGGCACATGCTGAGGAGCTTTGTGTTGTTCTTCAGGTGAGCAATCGCTTGTTCTTTGAAAGAATGCTGATGAAAATAGTGGCTGACATATTCATCAACTTTCTCATGGTCAAATCCCCAAATTTCTGCTAGCAAATCAACTGTGTTTAGTAAGAAGTCAGGTAGTCTCTGAGGTCGGCTGGTGACCAACACCGTGCAACCAGGTAGGAGTTTTCCGTGACAGAGGTCTGCAAAGAGCTCAGATATAGACATAGGGGACAGAAGGGCCGGGCATCCCTGAGAAGAGGATGGCACGTCCATGTTACCTGCAAACTCATCCAGCCCATCAAAAATGATCAGTGTACGCTGGGCATTTTCCAAGAGGTGCTGGAACACTGCATCAGGGCTGTCTTCTGGCTGAAGAAACAAGTCGAACAAAAGTTCCTTCAGAGTCAATTTTCTTTTCAATAAATTCAGCTGCCGAAACTCAAACAGGAAAGTGAGGAGAAACTGATGCAAGACACCTTCTGCCCATTTCTGATAGATCCTGTGCATTAGCATGGTTTTGCCTGTACCTGGTTTGCCAAACAGAAAGATCACTTTTGTGGCACCCGACGGAGCAACACTGTTAAACAGATCTGACACTTTCACAGCTGTATCCACACATTCCTCTGGTTCTGGAGTAGCTGCCACATCCTCCCGGGGCTTATCTGTTTTCTCTTTTAATCGAGACGCTTTGCTCCGAATAACCAGGTTGACGAAGGCTTGGTTGAATGTCGGGGGCTGCATTTGTCCCCGTGACGCTGGTCTGGCTGCTCTTCTACTGCCATAGCGTTGGCGGACTGAGTTGATGAGGAGATGTCGGTACCTTTCAGCTGAGTCTGAGGGAGAAGACGGCAGGGTGAGAATGAGGGCAAAGATGTAAGTAAGTTCTCAGCCATGAGTGACCAGAAATACTGCCACTTGCACACAAAGGAACACTAGCCCACATCAGGGGCTGTTCCGTGAAACCAGCCAGAAATGACAAATTTTGGAAGCATAAAAACAACCCATGATTTCCTCAACTTTGTTTTGCCCAGGAGCTGAAAGAGGAGAGGAAAATTCAAGAGAATGAAAAAAAAAAAAAAAGGCCGGGGGGGAGGTGAAATAGTTTCATACAAAGTCCACCCGTGCCAGGCTGTGCCACACTTGCTCAACTTTCTGCATTTTGCAATGGACCTTTCTTGCCTGTTGAGGCTGTCTTTGGAGATTTTGTAACATGGGATTTCCTCATTTCTTCCTTCCCTCCACACTTCCCCCTCCCAAGGTCTCTTTTCAGGACTACATACTTCTTTTTGCTGCTTCTATGCACGTTGTTCAACGTGCATTTGAAACAACACTCCAAGCCAAACACTTGGCCCTGGGGATGGCAAGGAGCAGCACAGCAGTACACCAAGCCAAATGCAATAATAAATTAACAAGCAAACCAAGCAGACTCCGTTCACGACAAGTAACCAACTGTGTGTGTACATAAAGCACGTGTTGCTGCTCTCCAGATTAATAGGACAGATGCACATAGTGGAAATCACCGTCTGAGGCTCCCCGGGGGCACTTTGAAATCTGTGGGTCCCAAAAAGCACCAGGGAAGGTGAGGAAGTTCCCCGGGAGGAGCCACCTCTACAATATGAGGAGGTTTGGCACTTTTCTGTGCTCAGCAAAGCACTGAGGGTGCTCGTCACCTCTGCCACCTGCATCCTTTCTCCTCCAGTGGAGTTTAGTATCTCTGAAATGGAACTGATGTTTGCCTGTTAAATGTGGTGTCCCATTGCCCTTCTGTTTTATAATCTGTCACATTAGAAGTTTATGCAGCCACAAAACGTACGTTTTGTTTGAGAAGAACCAAAGAAGGAGGGTTATCTATTGGGTGTTTTTGGGAGGAAGTTGAAGAGGGCCTTCCTCAGAGGGGAGCACCCCACTGTTCTCCCACAGCATCTACATACCCAGTCGCTGCTGTTTAGCATCTTTATCACTCGTAGAGCTGCTGCTGTGGCGGCGGCGGCGACCAAACCCTGCAAATGGAAAAGTACAGGCAAGTCATGGTAGAGCTTTGAGTGTCACCTTAGGAGAGCTCAGTCCTGGGCCACCTGCTCTAGCTTATCCTGCCTGAGCAGGAGGGTTGGACCACACGATCTCCAGAGGTTCCTTCCAACCTCAACCATTCTGTGATTCTGTAACTGAAGAGGAGGTGCAGCTAAGTAGAGAAAATCAGCTTGGGATGGTCCTCAAGAGACTAATCCATTTCCTTGGCCAAGACAGAGTACACCAGAGTTCTTGCAGGCAACATCGGTGTCTAGGCCCTTTTAAAGACCTTCAGTAAGAGAGGCCCCTCAAGTACTCTAGGCAATTAATTCCAACCCTTCAGTTTAGACAGTGCTTCCTAGTAGATAATGTCCAACTTGTCTGCCATAGTATGAGTCACTAGTTTCTTGCTCTACTACAGACACAGGCCCTCTAATTTGGACATTCTTAGTAGTGATGGAGATTCACTACCTTTCTGGGACAAATAACCAGCTATGAGGAGTCAGCATTTATCTAATACTGGAATATGACTTTGATTTTGCTTTACAGAGCCATCAATGTCCAAATTTTATTACTCACAGCCAGCAACACCTGGGACATCAGGAACAACTGGCTGTGATAGTGCAAGCTGCTTGTGGAAACCTGGCTTGGAAATTTTTTTGTAGGAAATAATGCGAGTTTCCAAAGGCACATTTTGGCCTAAGATGCTAAATTTAACACAAATGATGCTCAGATCCTTTTGCTCAATCGGCCCATTTGGTGAGGAGCATCATGCTAAGCAGTGGCAGAACCTTAGCCAGGGAGTACCACACAGGCCTTATCTGAGGCATCCTTGGGACTGATCCTTGAGCATGCGCACACTTTTGAAGGTTCATGCTTTCCTCTGCAATATTTCCTTTTTGAGAACTATTCCAAAGAGCTGCATCCCCACCCCGTCTCAAAGCTACGCACTAGCAAAGTCACAGCCTGACTTGTTTCATCTGTTCATCACTTCTCAGGATTTAAGTCCATCCAAAGCAGGAGAAGCCCATGAGATGAACCTGAAAGACAGCAGTGACAGGGCATATAGCAGACTATAAATACTGCAAGCTCATTGATGGGGCTGCCTGTAGGCTGGGCTCTGGATCTGCCTGGCTTTGAATCGAGAAGAGCACTAGAAAAGCTTTGTTTCACTGGGGGAGCCGAGCAGTGACCGGTTACCTCTGCAGAGCTCATGGCACGTGAGATGCTGCGTTTGCACTGCTGGCAGAGGCAGCCTCTGAGTGACCAGCAGAGACTGAAGTGTCTCTGCAACCATGGGAATGGGTAGGACTGCAAATGGCAGGGTGAGATTGAAAGAGGGGAACACCCCCGGAGATGGGCAGGAGCTCGCTCCTCAGGGAGCACCGCTGTGACGTGGCTCAGAGCTCTCCCGGCACAACCCGGAGCCGCTTCTCCTCCTTTCTGAATCTGCGGGAGTTGTGCAAGGCGCAACCCAGCGTCAAAGCCACACTGCCACCTGCACTAGGCACCTCTGCAGGACCCAAGGCCTGCACTGGGCTCCCTGCACCCATGGGCTGCCCAGCTCAGGAAAGGAGCT